GATATGATTATTCCGGTAAATGATTTGTTAGCATTTCAGGCGTTCGATGATTATCCTAAATCATTTGGTGAAATCATTCTTAAATATTATGTTTTCAGGGATACTTTAGTATTTTGTCAGGTTGACCCGTTAAGAGTTGCTGATTTACAAAATTACGTTTATGAAAAGATAACTGATGAAAATTATGAAAAGATTATGAATCATGTTTATAAATATGATCGCAAATTCCAACAAATCGGACTTCCTACCAAATTAATTACAAGCTTAGCCGCTACATCTGCTGACGCAACAGTTGATAACGTTATTATTTCATGCACAAAGATGGAAGTTTTAGAGGATAAATGCATTACACCAGGATACGGTTTAATTGAAGAATCAGTTAAAGCAATACCACGTTTATTCAGTAAGGAAGATCCATTCATGATTCCAGCTCAACATATTGACGTTCGTTCACTAAATGGAGGTTGCATCACTCCTGAAGGTATCAGCTCAGATTTCTCATACGCTCTTCATAATGTTACAGATGTTGTGTTAACATTTCCGAAGAATGCAATGCAAAGAACGGTTTTAGAAAATCCAATGCTTCGAGGTCTTCAGGTCACTATAGATTCCAGAAACTTCCCCGATCAAGCGATGACCACAGTGGGCGACATATTCTTTACACGTATGCTTCAAGCTTCTGATTTAGATGGAGTGAATGAATGCACAGAAGAATACGAGGACTCATTAACTAGACCACTGAATGATGATAATGGCACGCCATTAGCTAGAACATGGAAAGACCAAACTTCATTCTTATGCACTATTCCAGTTCAACGTGATGGAGCGGGTATATTCTTTGACGGATTAGAAACTTTCAATTCACAAGTTACAGTACAAGTGAAAGCTTATCCAATCATTCAGGGTGTAAATGACACTTACTGTTCAAAGGTGACAAATCCTCCTCAGGTTTGGTTTACTAGGACTACATATTGGACATGGACACCGGATGAAGGTTTGAAATATCATCCAACAGGTACACCACCACAGTATAGAAGTTCATATGATGAAATATTGATGAATAGAAATGTTTAAAATTATAAATTTATTTTTGATTAAATGGATTTAAATTCATCCACCCCTTATGAAGAATTAGCGGGAGTATATAATACATACGTAGATGATATGATTAATGAAGCATTGAGTGATAATAGAAATGCTCTATCTAAGGAAAAATTAATGAAAATTCCATATTCTGAATGTTACTTAAATTCAATCACTGCAGCAATTGGTAAACAAAATAAAGGTAAAACATTAACGATATTAAAACAAATTATCATTATTGCTAACACTTCCCCCTATTCACATGTGTTAATTTATATCAACCGTTCAGGTTCACCTTCAGATGATACATTTGAATCTTTAAAGCATTTAATCAAAATTCCAATTATTTATTTATCACAAGAAGAAGCAGAAGATTATTTAAAAAACTTTTTAATGTATAAAGAATTATATAATACAATCAAGAAGCAAGGATTAGAGGATAAAATTATTGATAAACAACGGGATGAATTATTTGAAACACTTTCTATTTCAAATTTTGATAGAGAATTTTTGCATTCACTCATTTTTCTAGATGATGCAGTGAAATCAAAACTAATAACAAATGAGAAATCATATTTTAATCAGTTATTAACTCAATGTCGACACATTCAGTGTTCATTCTTTATGGCTGTTCAATATTTCAAAGCATTAAGCACAAACATTAAATCAAATCTATCAACCCTTTTCATTTTCAGTGGGTTTAGTCGTCAACAGTTGAACGTTATGCTTTATCAAGTGAATTTACCAATGAGCATTAATGAACTTTACACACAATATCAGCAATTAGGTGAACATGGAAAAATAATAGTTGATTTAAATAAAGGAAGTGTTAAATTTGATTAACTTTTTATAATTAATTTTTATTTTTTATTTATAATTAAACATGACAGAAATAGCAAATCTTCTACAGGTTCCATTAAAACAAGGAACAAACAAAAAGGGTGCATATAATAGAACTATGAAAGTTCCTGATGGAATGAAAGAATTAGTTCATATTGTTGCTGGTCTTCAAAAAGATGTTAAACAAATGAGAAACGTTTTAACATTACCAGAAGCTCAAGCATATGCCAAACGTCATGGTCCAAATTGGGAAGCACACGAAGCAGACATTACGGGTCCAAATGGAAAACCTGATGGTATAAATGAAGTTTTCGTTACTGATGGTCAAGGTAATATTAAAGTCATAAATGGTTATAAATTAACTATAAGTGATTATCCTAAACGTAAAGCATATAATGAACGTTATCCTATGCAATTTGATGAAAATGGAAAAGCTGTTAAACAATACATTGGAGAAGGTGAAAATGGTCCAATTAATTCATACCGTCATAATCCATATTCTTATTTCAATGAAGAATTAAATGCTATTGAAGAGGGACCGGATGGATTACCACGATATTCTAACCAGTTTGATGGTAAATATGCAAATATTAGACCTGAAATTTCAGCTAAGAAATTCTTTAAAGTTGCTTTATTCGATCCAGTTTTCGCAAATGTTAAAGATGAACTTAAACAGCAATTCCAACCAATTATAGTAGCAAGAATTGCATCAGGTGCTTTATCTCAAGCATTCAAAGATTTAATTAAGAAACCATTATATCAGCAACGAGGTTTAACTTATGATTTAGTTAAGGAATCAGATAAAAGAAAATTTGAGAAATCAGATGATTATAAGAATGCAATTAATGAATATATTCGGTCTATTAATTTCGATGAAAATGCTAAATCAACTTCATGAACAAATACAGGGAATAATAGATTCAAAAGTTCCAGCAAAATAAAAGTTTAAAATATTTTTTTTTTATCGAATATAAATGAGAAGACGATTCACTAGTCAAAAGAACACTAACGCAAAAGCAGAGATTACGGTTGGTTATAACGTAAATGATGATAAAATCACGAATTATTCAAAATGTTAAAGTTAATGTTAGCCCCGAATTAACAAGGTCAGCAACTCAACCAAATTTATTAACTCGTGACTTACCGAAAAAGGAGGAGGAGCAAAATAAAGAAGATGGAGACCCAATCATTTTATCTGAACCCGGTAAAGAACCTGTTGAAATTCCCCACTTATCCAACATACCCCCGCCTCTTTCATCAAACATCGAGAACCCATATAAAATAGACATTAATTCTGAATTAATGAAAATTTACCGTGATATAATAATTAATAATTATGATTCAATAATAAATTTAATTGACCAATCCGGTTTTATATTATTTTACCTTATGAATCATTAATTCACATTATCGCCATTCTTTGTGATGTTCAAGATTCAGACGTTAAGATTCAATTTTCATAGATGATGAGGTTTCATGCTGCGGAACAGTTGCAAAAATAAATCCTATAAAGGATATTAGCACAATTAAGATATCAAAGAACGGAACAACAACTGAACTTCATTTAACATATAATGATATTTATATAAAATAGTTGATGAATATAAAATATCACTTGAAAAATTCTTTGTTAAGGCTATTTAATATTCAAGCATTAACATTATTGAATAATAATCCTTTGAATCATAATCAATAATAATTGACCTTTCACCAGTTTCTATCGTTTGTTTTATTTCTTTTTGTTCCCCACTATCCGGATCGGTCATTGTAATTGTTTTTGTTATAAGTATCAGCTTTATCTTTAACTTCAATCTTTTTTCCATCGGGATATTTAAACCAAAATTCCAAAAATTCGATATTGTCAATCTGTTCATATTTTAATCTATCAATTACATTTTTAATACCATCTGAAAATCTTATGAAATGGTCATTATATGGGTTTGATTGAACTAAATTTGAATGAAGTGAAATATAACCTGTTGATGAATATGACATTGACTCATATTTTTGAAAACACTAAATTTATAACATGAATGAATTTCTTATTCGTTGAATTTATGAATTCTTGAGGTAATCTTATTCTAGTTTTATTTATCACTGGAAAATAACGCTTTACCATATTTTTAATCGTAATAAAAATGTCAATTATCAATATTATTTCGAATAATAGCTGTGAATTAAATTTAACAGTTAGCGGAATTTATAATGTTACTCTCGTTTCTGTGAGTGGTAAATTTAATCCCATTCTTTTAGACCCTTCAGATTATATATCATTTATTAAAGATGACCTTGAAAAAACGTATGATATGTATATAAATAATGTGATAGCGAAATGGGATATTAACATGATTTTAAGTTATTTAAATGAATCATTTATCGTATGGTATGAAGAAAATTTTAAATCAAAACCTGATAAACTTTTTGAACTTGATGAAATAAATAACCTTATTAAATTTCCGCTGAAAATTAAATTTTGTACTCCTCATCTTCGTTCATTGTTGGGGATATTAAATTTTGAAAAAGATGTTGGGGATGTTTTGTATTCTGACACTGGTTCCAATTTCATTTTAATCAAATGTGATAAAGTTAATACCCCAATGAGATTTTCACATCAAACATTAGACCCTAACTCTTACCCATCAATACAAAACATTTTATCCATCAACTTAAACACATTTTCTTTATCATATCCGTTTCAATTATCCGGGAATTCATTTATTCTTCATTCAAAAGATTTATCAAATATTAAATTTAGAATAACTGACCTATTTGATTGTGATTTAGAATTCATGAATGAAATATTATGGCAATTTCAAATAGAAAAAATAGCTGATGAGATAACAGATTAAATATTTATTTTTAAATCATAATAAATGATTAAACAACAGCAACTTAAGGCGCAAAGCACCCAGGTCCTTCAGACCATTACATACGCCATATATGCATATAATTCAAAGACGGCAGAACAAACGCAAAGGTTGAAATATGGAGATTTGGAGATAGTATTGAAAAATGAACATTTCGAATTCGTTTGCAAAGGTGGTGCGGTGATATCAAATATAAAAGAAATTTTATTTATGAATTCAAAAATTAAAGGAATAACGGATGATATAACATCAATTCCACCAGAAGAACAGAGATATTACGCATTAAATGCATTTCCTAAAGTTTTGAAGATTGGAAGATTTAATTTAAATGAGGAATTCATAGAAGGTTTCCTAAATGACATAATGAAGAAGGTGGATAAAACATATGTGGATAGTGAGTTAGAGAAGAAGGCAAATTTGGTTTATGTTGATGAAAAAGATAATGAAATTAAAGAAAAGGTTGAATGGTATCATGAATGGACATTTGAGACTTTTAAAGTTAAAGCTGATACAGAATGGGTTTCAGGATGTTTAGACCTTAAAGCAGATAAAACATATGTTGATGAAAATTATGCAAAGAAGTCGGAAGTAAATGATGTGATTACAAGCATGAAAAATGAAATACTTCAAACATTATATCCTGTTGGTTCTATTTATACGTCAATGAACTCAACAAATCCATCAGAAGTTTTAGGTTTTGGTACGTGGAAGCAGATTGTAGATAAATTCTTATACTGTGCTAGATATTCAAAGCAAACAGGAGGTTCGAAGAAAATTAAAGAAGCAAACCTTCCACCGCACACTCATACAGGAACTACAAACACAACAGGTAATCATTCACATTCAATAACAAAAAGAGGTTATATAAATCTTGCAGCGGGTTCGGATAGATGGGGAATGAATAGATATGATATCACAACTGACCCAGTAGATTCAAGCACAGGTATTTTCTGTGGAACCGCAGGAAATCATTCACACACTTTCACAACAAATCCAACAGGCTCGGGTAAAGATTACATGCCACCATTTGTGACTGTATTCGCATGGTACCGCGTTCATTGAATGTGCTTGAGACTTGACCCAAAGGGTTTACGCTTACCGAATGAACTAAATATATTTTATGTCTGTAATTAATTAGGTAATGAGTGTAAATGACCCAAAAATAATGTTTACGTTAAGTGACTCAAAGAGTCCGGAGACAAAGTCTCATGTTTTTAGGTTATTCAATAATTAATTATTTTTGAAGAACTGAAGGTGCTACCATGTTACCATGTGCTACCAGGTTATTTAACTTCTCTGAAAAATGATGACAACATGACATTTTGACAACAGTTCAGGAGGAAGGCATTTATGAATTATTTTTGAAGAACTGAAGGTGCTACCATGTTACCATGTGCTACCAGGTTAATTAACTTCTCTGAAAAAATGAGACAACATGACATTTTGACAACAGTTCAGGAGGAAGGCATTTATGAATTATTTTTGAAGAACTGAAGGTGCTACCATGTTACCATGTGCTACCAGGTTAATTAACTTCTCTGAAAAAATGAGACAACATGACATTTTGACAACAACACAGGAAATAAATGTTTACGTTAATGGTTAGATCTAACCTCATTTCTACCCTCATGAATTTTCATGAATTTTATATATTAATGTTTTCATTAAGCCACTTTGTGCCGTCAGTCAGTCAGTTTAGGAAAGACTTTAGAAAGTTATTGGAAAATAAGTCCTGGGAAGAGTATTATAAGGCATTTTGTGAAGAATATAGCAACCGCCGGAATTCAGACGGTTGTTTTTTTATACAAAATTCATGCAGGAAATTCTTGAGTTTTGGTTGAAAGAATACGGTCGAGCCACTTTTGGCTCCACCTCAAAACAAGCATTTTATGAGCTTACTAAGGGCGTTATAAATGAATTCAAAGGTATTTACATACATCCTGACCTCGTTCATTTTGTTGCTGAATTCAGCAAAAATAATGTTTAGGTGAAGAGGTGAGATTTCACCTGTTTTTTCACCCTCACCGCTTAGCGGCTCAGATTGCTTTTGCTTTCTCGTGAATTTTCATGAATTTCCTTAAGATAGAAAAAATAAAGTTAGTTTTATTTTTATTTTTTTATTTTGTATAAAAGATATGATTTCAACAATCGGCACAACAACAATTTAAACAACTACAGCACCAAACTCGCTAGTCATGAATCCTACGTCTATGTTAGTAGAGATGAAAAGCTTCATTCCTTCTTCATATACTTTTGAGACAGAAATACAAAGAATTAAGCAAGAACTTTTAACAAGTAATTTAGACTGTAGTGCGAAAGATGAAACAAATGGAGAGGAGCTATATGAAATGCAAGATATCATAGACCATTTACCCAAATTGCCTGAAATTCAGCAACAAAAACTAACTATTCCTGAATTCGATGAAATAGAAGTTAAAGTTACTGATTCAGTAGAAATAAAGAAGTTCATACGTAAAGTAAATTATGAGTTTCTAGGATATCATTGCAACCATAAAGTTATGGACAAAGATTGCGACATGGTATATAAGAACATCTCTGACATATATAAATCTGGGGAGTTTAAGACATACGACAACTTTGTTTCATTAGTTGCTGAATGTGTATGGCAGATAAGAGATAAAGATAAAAGATGTAAAATATGGAATGGACAAATAAAACCAACAACTTTTGAGTTAAAGAAAACCATTGACGCCTTAGTTGTTCTAGCAGGTCAAATTTCAATGTATAACGCAAAAATGAATCCACAATGTTCAAAATGTAAAGCAGCAATGAGGAAATATAACTACTCCGTCAAAGAGATAGAACGTATGAGAAACGACTATGCTGACTTAAAGAAAGAAGTAGAGAAACCAGCAGAAGATAAAATTGACATGTTAGCATTTCTGAACAAAAACTATCCAACAGCTGACGATTTCCTTCTATCTGACGTCAAGAAGAAGTATAAAGAAACTTTCGGCATTGTTAAAACTTTTGACATACTGACAGAAGAAATAGAAGCTACGAAATTGTTTAGAATTTCAAATATACATCGTACAATTCATGTAAAACGCTTATAAAATAACTGGGGTGAAAAATTAGGTGAGAAAACTGGTGAAATCTCACCTCTTCACCTAAAATATATTTTTATTGAATTCAGCAACAAAATTCTGAGTAAAATAATTTTTAGGGCATGTGTCAAACCGTTGAGTTTTCACAAAATTTAAAAAATAACGTATATCACGTTAAACGTTTGTAAATCTTGAGGGTAGAAATGAGGTTAGAAATGAGGTTAGATCTAACCTCTTCACCTAAAATATATTTTTATTGAATTCAGCAACAAAAATAATGAATTTCATTAGTTAGAAAAATAAAGTTAGTTTTATTTTTATTTTTTTATTTTGTATGAAATGACAGTAATGTCAACAACAGAGAACACAACAACTGCTATCGTTCATGAAGCCATAAATGAAGAATACGAGTACATACAATATAACAAACAATTGAGACTCATTCGTTCGGTCAAAGATGACGTGTAAAAATGCAAAGTATAATGAATGCTCTTCGTTCTACAAAGCAAGCATATCATTGGTTTGAAAACCAACAGACAAAAGAAATTTTAGAAGAATTTCCTCATATGATTGCTTCCCTCGGAAAACCGAGAGAAGAGATTCCGTATGAAAATCGCAAGAGGGTAGAAATGAGGTTAGATATCAGGTTATTCAATAATTAATTATTTTTGAAGAACTGAAGGTGCTACCATGTTACCATGTGCTACCAGGTTAATTAACTTCTCTGAAAAAATGAGACAACATGACATTTTGACAACAGTCCTGGAAATTTGATGCAGTCCAAAAATAAAGTTAGTTTTAAAATTATTTTTATTTTTTTATTCCTATATAAATGACAGCAACAAACAACAACAGTAACTTTATCGTTTCTGATGAAAAAGTTATTGATTCATTAGCTGAGGAATTAGTTGTGGCAGAAACTAAAACCCTCAACGAAAGAATTGGTGAAAACAAGATTGATTTACATAACTACCTCAAACACGATGGAGGAAGAGGAAGGAAAACTGGTATGGCTTTATTAGTAAATAAAATTTCAAATTTAACGATTATAGATGTTGATATCAATAAATCATACAATGATGAACTTAAAGAAACAGTTAGAAAAGATATTTTATCAAAACTTTCGGATAAAGATGTTATCGTTAAAACCGCTTCAGGAGGTCTTCACATTTATTGCAACACTAATTTCTTCTATTCAGTTTCGAACAGAATGATTAAATGTTATTCCTGCAATGATTATGATATTGATATCATGACTTCTATGGATGATTCAAAGCGTTCTTTAGTGGTTATGGCTGATTCAAGAGTTCGCAAGAATGCATCAGAACCAATCAATACATACTCATTCATTCGTGGAAGTTATGACTCGACCATAACCAGAACAGTGAATGATATATTAAATGATTTGAATATTAAGGTAAGAGTTGAACAGAAGAATGAAGAAATAAAGACTATCATGAATGAAAACAAAGATGTAAACATTGACGATAAACTTGCCCAGAGCATAGTTGATGGCATCAGTGATTTTGAAGTACATAATGACGGTGGAAACATGAATTTAGAAAAAGAAGTTACATTATTCACACTGTTTCAAGCAATTAATTCGTTACCTAATCATTTAATTAATGAAGCATACGATAACGTTTATAACTTCTGCAATTTAACTGAAAATGCAAAAAGTAATTTTGAAAAAGCACGTAGTAGATATGCACATTTAATGACTTCTCCATTTGTTTTAGTGAAGATTCTAAAACTATATCAAAAGGAATATTATGATGAATACGTTTTGCCTTTATTACGTAAGCCAAAAATAACATTTGATATAAAACTTGATGATTCATTCTTGATAACAGATATTAGACGCAAGGCTGAAAATCATCAGTATAAAAACAGTTCTGAAGTCATTGAGGATTTATCACGTGTAATCCGTTTTGTAGATTGTGGAAATAAATATTTCATTCAAAAGGACTATAATATCCACGATAAAATGAATCAAATATCATTCGTTCTTCAATCAAACATGAAAGAGTCACTTAAAATGATTAAATTATTTAAAGAAGAAGGTAAAACAATAACAGCATGGGACGTACTACTAAATCAATTATCCTCATTAACCGTTAAGGGTGTTTGCTTTAAATCTGATTCCCCAGATGTTTTCTCAACGTTTCAGGGTTATAAATACAACATTCTCGAAAAGCCTGATTACTCAAAAATTGAGATGTTTATGGATTTCATTAAAGAAGCCATTTGTGATAATAATGATGAAGTGTATAAATACCTACTCGGCTGGATTGCATCAATGATTCAACATCCTGGAATCAAGAATGAAACAGCAATTATTTTGAAAGGACTTCAGGGAACAGGTAAAAACAGATTTACAGACATTATTTCTGAACTCCTCGCTGGTTATTCATGTAAAAACATTACTGAAATAGGTGAGCTAACGGGTAATTTCAATTCAGTAGTTGAGAATAAAATGTTTCTTGTACTTAATGAACTCAAGAATGTTGGTGAAGACAGACTTGCAAACTTCAACGCTTTGAAATCAATTATAACGGATAATGAGATTAGAATTAATGAAAAGAATCAACCCAGAAGAACTGCTCAGAACGTTGCAAACTTCATTTTCGTAACTAATAACGTCTACCCTGTCAAAATTGAAGTTGGAGACAGAAGATACGTAGTTTTAAGAGTTAATGGTAAATTTAAGGGTCAATTTGATTACTTCAAGAATTTAATGGATTCATGCACTAAGGAATTTTATGATTAATTTACTGACGTATTTTATGCAATATGACCTTTCATCATTTAATGTACGAATCATACCGATGACTGAAGCCAAAACAAGATTTAATTGAATTATCAACAAATCCTTTAGATGTATGGATAAATACACATTATGATGAATTGTGTGCAGGTATGACGTGTAAAAATGCTCTATTCTGCAAACCATCAGACATGAAAGACAAGAATTTCCAAATGAGCATTAAGGAT